AGTTCACTGTCCCTCAGACCCATTGGAGGGCCGGACTATAGCTTTTAAAAAAACTATGAACAAATTCCTATGCACACTACACATATCTTATTTTGAAGTGAAAAAACAAATGGGGCAAAAACACCCGGCGGGCCGGATAAATGTCCTTGGCAGTCTTCATGTGGCCGGCAGGCCGTAGTTTGAGGACGCCTGGTTTAGAGGGTTATTATTGACTAATAGGACTATGGGTGATTTTTGTTTCTATAACTTTCTTTATGACTCATTTTTTTTCTAAAACTCCACAAGTATTTCTTTTAAAAGAGAAAAAGTATTTGAAGTCATTTATTTATTTATGATGTTACCTTCCTGACCTTTTAAAAATTTTCTTTAAGGAACTATATGTGACCTCCTCCCTGGGGGACGGACAACAGAAAAGTGGGTGAAGGGAGACGTCGGACAGGGCAAGATATGACAAAATAACAATTTATAAACTGTCAAGGGCTCACGAGGGAGGGGGAGTGCGGAGGGAGGGGAAAATGAGGACCTAATATCGGGGGTTTAAGTGAAGAGAAAATGTTTTGAGAATGATGTACAAAAGCGCTTTACACGATTGATGTGTGTATGGATTGCGATAACAGTTGTATGAGCCCCTAATAAAATGTTAAAAACAAACAAACAAACAAAAATTTTCATTTGGTGAAGTAATAAAAATATCAACACCTTCCCTTCCTGTCATCTCCCCTATTCTGATTTAATTGAGGAAATTCTGTTATTTTAATTCTAATAGGACTATCATCTCAGTGTACTAGAAGAAAAGAAAAGAAAAAGTTTCTTCTCTGCTTGCATATTGGGAAATTTTAAACCTGGTCAATGGGAACGAACAAACAAATAGAATCTGATAATTTGTTTGGTAAAACATTTGATAATAACTGTTCTTTTAATTCTAAGACAGAAGAATAAGATTTCAAAATAAAATCTTAAAATCAGGATACAATTCTTTTTATATTAGAAAACCTATGCATCCATGAGTAATGCTTTATCACATAAAAGTTTTTAATGACATTGGTATTAAATTGAATCTGAGTATGCTGAAATTAACCTCGTGACCATGAAGTACCTGTGGGCACTTGACTAATTATGTGGTGAAAATCGCATGCAGACCATTCTTGGGTAATGTATACTTCTGAAGAGAACTGCACCTGCAGCTTATGTCTTTCTTTACCTATTGTTTTTGTCATAATTTTAAAGAGGGTTTACATGTCTTTTAAGGGATGTACTTGCCATACAACAAGGGTTCAGTTAATGTTTGTGTATAGTAATATCTGGTGTTTGCAGTTTGAGGTTTTTAAATATGATATTTAAAAGATTTTAAACAGTTTTATCACCAAGTACTCATATTACTCATAAATGAGAATAGATCTAAGATGGTACCTTTAAGAATATAAGGTAGGGAAAAAAAGAATATAAAGTAGGATCAGTCTATAGGAAGAAAGGAACTTTCATCACTCTAAAGGGCTAAAGGGAGAAAAGCACTGTGGAACGGTAGGAATATAATAGGTGTAAATATTTAAGGTGTTGTTTTTTAAGTTAGGAAATGAGATAAAGTTATTGAAGTATGAAGAAAAAAAGTAATTGAAGTATGACTGTGAGGTTAGCGTCACATACTCCATTAAAAGCTGAGCTTTTCCCACTCCAATCATAGTGCTTTCTTTGGTGATGTTCCTTAAATACAGATTTGGCAACAATATTAGAAAATGAATTTCCTTACAATGATACCAATTCTACAGAGCTAATTAAATTAAATTGACATCTAAAATTAGTCAAGATTTGCTAGAGACGTTGCAGTAGAACTGATTAATATAACCTCACTTTATTTTATTTTGTTATTTTTTTTAACCTCACTTTATAAGATAGCCCAAGGCAACTGTTACCCTCTCGATTCTGATGGACTGTCCGAGGTGACAGGAGAACATGCACTGTATGATGTATGGACAGTTAAATCTTTGAAGGTGTGTGTGCCTTTCAAATAGACGTTATGAACATGAAAAGAAAATGGGTTGACACAGATTTGTGTTTTTGAGTATATGAAATTTCATCCTTTTACAAAACATTTATTGCCTTTTACAAATAGAAATAATAGACTTTTTGAAATTAATGATTAAGCTTTTTTACATCAAATTTCCATTCAAAACAAAAATCCTTTCTGTATATCATCTGTCCATATCCAGTTGTATTTGAATTATACAAGCTATAACATAAACAATTTAGGATAATTAGGCATGATGTAAACCTGGATGCCTTGAGATTTTAGATCCCACTTTTAATTTTGGTCCATTTGAGGTTTGTGCTATGTAAAAGAAATTGTGACTCAAACAATTCTTGATTAGGCTTCTACTGAAATAGACTTTATTTACATGCTTACATCTCCCATTCCACCAATTTTCAGCATTTTACTTTGACTAATAAAAACAAAATTATGAAGACAATAACTAGCTGGTTTAAATCTCAAAGGACTGCTCTAGGATTTCACTGGCCTATTTCATGCTGTTTGATGCATTTAAGACATTTATAAGGGCAACAGTGCGTGAACAAATACTTCATTTTTAATGTGGAATGAAGTAAACATGAAAAAGAGAGGTGGAGAAACTTCCTTCTTGGTTGAAAGGAAAGATTCAGTGAATAGAGAGAGCATACAGAGTGTCGTTGAAGGACAAAGAGCCAGACTAGGGAGGGAGAATAATTACCCAGAAATGGCAATGGAGCAGCTGGATACATGTAACTTTAAATTCTTTCCCTAATTATGAATCTTAAGTGAACCTCTAATCCCTGGAGGATGAATGTTTTTTTTTTTTTCAATACTACTAGAACTCTTCCAGTGTTTTCATATCACTAAAAATATTCTAGCTATATCACAGGATCGCTTGACCTCTTAATTTTTAATTTTAGGATTTTTCATATTCATTTATTTAAACTAAAATTGTTTTAGGTGCATTAGTCCATTGATTTGCTGCAAATTGAAATTATTTCATAGTGACAAATGTGGTGTTACTCCCTTCTCCTCCCAACCTCCTGCCCCCCATTCTCTTCAAATAGTCCCCAGATGTGGAGATTCTTTATAAAGCATACTTGTGGAAATGATCACACCATAATCTTTATACTAAAGACCCCTTGGCAATGCTGTCGGGTAAGCATTGGACTACTCTGCACAAGGTGGGCAGTTCAGACTCACCAGCTATTCCTCCAGCAAGATGAGGCTATCTGTTCCCAGATGGAGCGCTTGCGGTATAGTGGGTTATGTGTTAGGCTTTTAACTCCAAGGTCAGCAATTCGAACCCACCCGCTGCTCCACTGGAGAAGGATAAGGCTTTCTGCTCCCATAAAGATTTATAGACTCGGAAACCCAAAGGGGGCAGTTCTCCATCCTATGGGATCTCTATGTATCAGAATCAACTTGATGGCAGTGAGGTTTTGTTTTGTTTTTTTAATTTGCTCTGATGTACAGCCACAGAAACCTTGCCATGGGGTCAGTGTAAGTTGGAACACATTCGATGACAGTAGGTTACAGGTTGATTAATCTTTATACTATTTATAGTGTAGATGTCATCTTTAATATGTCTCAAGTCGTGGGAATTTTGTGCAAAAAACATTTGATACATACTAAGAAATCAAAGCAAATGAACAATTCTTGGAAATCTGAAGTACAGTATTATAATTACTACTGCTAAGAGGTGCGAATGAGTTCATGAAACCCTGAAGTAGCAACTGATCGAGTGTAGCAAGAGTAGAATGTCTTTTCTTAGTGATTTAAATCGGCACTTAATATTCTTCCTAACTGTTTTTGTGCTTAACATATGAAACTTGATTAAAATGATATGTATCACATACATTAAAAAGAGTATATGAAACATTAAATAAAATTTAGGAGGTATAATAGTAAAAGGAATATCTGTGAACCTTCCATTCAACTTAAGAACTAACATTACCAGGACTAGACTATACAAATGCTATTGTTTCTACCTATGATCCCCTCCAATTTTGCCTCTTCCACAGAGATAACAACTGCCTTTAGTTTTACATTCATTTAGAAAATACTGTTACCATATTATTTATATCCTATAAAAACTCACTGCCATCTAGTTGACTGACTCATGGTGACTCACAGAATTGTCTCTTGGCGTTTCCAAGCCTGTAAATTACGCAAAAAAAAAAAACCCCAATCCCAAACCTATTGCTATTCAGTGGATTCTAATGTGTGTGTGCATGCGTATGTATGTATATATATATTTAATATGTGCCATTTAGTGTGATTTATTTTTGAGCTTTATAAAAATGTAATGTTGAATTCTATGCTATTTTTGTTCTACATGTTGTAAGAAATTCATGTATATTACTGCATCCAATTATAGTTGAGGCATTTTTGCTACATTTGATCTTGGACAAATGGCCAAGAAACTAAGATTCACTTTTACTATGGTATAATAGTTCTGTTTGACTGTTCTACAATTGTTAATTCATCAGTTTTGATGATGATAGAACATTGTTCTAATGAACATTCTTGTACATGTCTCTGAGTGTGTGTATGTGATGTGTGTTTGTAGTGAAGCTGGGGCCTCAGTCTCCTAACTTTATGCTCTGCCAACTTTAACTAATAATGCCTTTTAGTCAAAAGGCCAGAAGTTGACATCTCACACCACAGCCAGCCATATGTGTTTTAGACAGGAAGGCAATAGGGGGAAGGGCAGAAGGCCAAAGGGCAATGACTTCTATTTATATCCACATGCATGCCTCTTTCTTGCTTAAGGAAAGCTGGGAAATACAGTTTTTTAGTTGGATACATTTTGCCTTTAATTATATGTTTTTAATAAGAAAAAGTGGAGACACTGGTTTAGGGGCCTATCCCTTTCCATACATGTATATGAAGGCCAGGTGAAGAAATACATACTTCTTCAACTTATCAAGGACGGTATTATAGCTACTCCTTAAAATATTGAGATAAAGGTATTGATAAGAAAACATAAAACAGCTTTGTGCAGTGGCAATATTGTAGCCAGTGAGGTTTGTCCGAGGCGCGATTATTGCTAATTGAAAACTTTTCCCTGCCGTGATGACTTGAAATATAGTCGGCATTGGCAATTTTTGACAGTCTCTATGGATACTAAAAAAAAAAAGAAAACCTAAAACTTGTAATTAATAATCATGTTGAATCTGATATCATGTGGATGATTAGGTTAAATAATATGAAATTTATTTATTTTTGAAATTTTTATTTTAATTCAGCCTAATTGAATTTATTTTCACATTATTCCAGTGAGTTGGTGTTTAGAAGTAGGGGCAAAGATTGAGCAAAAAAGATAACAAAAACTACAATGATTCGATGTGTGTTAGAGGAAATGAATCCAGAGACTGAAAGGAATACAAGTATGGCACAGAAAAAAGTCAGTTGGAAAAGACTTGAAAGGATAGCCACTAAGGGGATTTTGCATAGGCAGGAGGAAGGACAGTAAAGAGAGACTACAGATATTTATTGAAATTGGGAGGGTATTACACTTTAGAAGCTAAGAAGCTGCTTGAAGATTCCCTCTTGAAGTCAACCTATGGAGAAACCAAAAAGAGGTGACTTTGCCTCCTCACTGCTTAGAACTGGTGTCTAGTGTTTATTGGGCATATGAGTAACGGTAGGGTTTGAAGAAAAAAATGATCTCTACATCAAATTGAGCCATGCCTAATTGTATGATGAGACTTTATACTTATAATTTACTGCCTAATATTCCCATCTTCCCTGGAGTAGAAGGACACAGTTTTTTTTAATCCCTTTCCATTTTCAAAGTGATACATGCTTATTGTAGTAAGTCTGGAAAATGCAGAAAAGAAGAAAGAAAGCATCCCGACACAGGAAGATAACCAGTGTTGTTTGTCATGCTTCTTCAATAATGTATTTTAAAACATACTGTATCCACAAGAGTGGTATTAGATTATCAGCTATATGTATTATATATGTTTTGAAAGATGAATATTTCCAGACAAAGGATGTTTTCTGAAAGCTGTTTCTCCCCTCCCCCCACCCCACCTCTTGGGCCTATTTCTTCTCTTCTGTACTTGTGTAAAATGAGATGAAGACAAAAAATAGATTTGTCTTTTTCTGGAAACAGTGTGACAGGTTTCATGTAAGACCTCAGCTGTGGTTTCTCTATCACCGCTTTTAGGCAGAAGTTGATAAAATGGCTTTAGGCAAGGATGAGCACTTTTACATACACTATAATATGTAATTTAATCTTGGGCAGCTGAGGTTATCAACATAATTATCTATATGGACCTAGACACTGGGATGGTAAAATACTTACCATGTAGTTTATTTAAATTTTTTTTTTAGGAAATCTGAGCAGCTCATATGAGTGTACTTTATTCATCTTTTTTTTAAAGGGTAGAATTAATATTTTATTGTCATTTATAATCAGATGGTAGCTGGATATATAGTCTTCATACTTGATTCTTCTTTCTTGTAACTACAAAAATGTTTACACAGCTGATGGCTGGTTACATTTTCAGGAAGCATAATTAATTTAGCTCGTTAATGGTAGCTTCAAGTTTTTCCTTATTAGCGCCAGAAAATTCACCCATCTTTTGTCCCTTTTTGTAAAACTGAAATGTTGGCGTGCATTTGACTTCGCACTCTGAAACAGCATCCTGGCAGTCATTCACGTCAACTTCAAGGAAGACCACATTGCCATACACAGAGGGAATGATAGAAAGGCTTGATCATTTTGCAAGGCCCACACCACGTGGCTGAGAAGTCAACCACTACAGGCTTCTCTTCAGCACTGTTCAGGTCTGCCAGAAAATCTTCCTTGCTATCAATCTGCTTCACCATTTTGACTGTTGGGGTTTGACGAGTGACCAGGGTCACAAGAGAAACGGAACAGGGCACCAGACCCAGCTTGGACATCATCATCGTTTTTAAATTGCAAAACACAGTATTTGTATTTTTAAGCTTGAAAAGTACTAAATAGACCTACTTTGAATATTTTCCTGATTTTGGAGAAAATGTTAGTATCATAGCTTTTCCAATATCTTTTAACATAATTTATATTTAAAATTTTTGAGGATAACTTTAATTATATACAAAGGAATAGTTAACAATGTACTATGATGAATTCTCATGTACCCTTGTATTCAGTACCCACCTCTAGTAATCAGTTCTGGCCAGTCCTATCTCTACCTTAACCCACTTTTCTGTCTCTTAGGTGATTTTGAAGCAAATCCCAAACATAAAATTGTCTTATCTATAAATAATTTGTTGGCGTAGTAGGTTAAACTTTAGGTTGCTAACTTCAAGGTTAGCAGTTCAAAGCCATCAGTTGCTTTAAGGGAGAATGATGAGGCTTTCTACTCTCATAAAGAGTTAGTTTTAGATACTCACAGGGGCAGTTCTATTCTGTCCTAGAGAGTCACTATGAGTCAGAATCAATTTGATGGCAGTGAATTTTTTGTTTTTTAAATAATTTGTTAATTTTCTAAATATAGTGTTCTTTAGAAAATAACTATTATTGTACCTGAAAATCAACACTACTTCTCAAACAACCAATCAGTATTCAAATTTCCAGTGATCAGTGTTTTTTCTTTTAAATCCTGAAAATTGATAGTTGAATTTTAATTCTTAAAGTTAAAAACAAGAAGGAAAAATCAAGGGTGTATATTTATTTTTTTGCCATCTCAAAGGTTGCAATTACTCAATTTACTTGAGAAACTCCTGGTGCTTAGGGACCATATTGTAGGGTAGACTAACTTTGGATCTCTAATCTGTACAGGCACATATAAGAAAGGTATCTCCTTATGATTAAAAAGAAAGCCTGTTCTCCAGTGAAGGTCACTTAGTACTAATAAGGATTAGTTAAAACAGAACTAATTCTCTTTCAATTAGGAAAAAGTCTTAATGTATGCTTGGTATTAGGTAGTTAAGTCATGTTTACATCCTAAAGATTTAACGAACACCGTGGTCTAAAATACAAAATCTCAAACTTTTCCCTACCTCAGAATCACCTAGATGGCTTGTGAAAACATAGATTGCTGGGCACGCTCCCCAGAGTCTGTAAGTCAGCATGTCAGAGTAGGGTCGAGGGATTTATATTTCCCACAAGTTCTCAGGTGATAGTGATGCTAGTGGCCAGAGTATTGCACTTGGAGACCCAAGTTTAACTAAAGGTCTAATCTCCTTTGGAATGAAAAAAACAAAAGCCTTAAAGATTTTGTTCATATTCTTTGCTTGAACCTGATCATCAGAGATTCTGATGTACGCCCTATAATGCACAACTTCTGTCATAAATTTTCCTAGTTTAGTCTCCATATTTTTGTTCTTATTTTTAAAGACATAGCCATAATGTTACAGTCTTTTGATATTGTTATATCTGAAGCAAATAATTAGATTCAGTGTTTTCACTGTGCTGTTTATTACTGTAGAAAAGTATTAAAAAGTCATCAGCACTTGTTCTAGACAAACCCATGTTAATTCTCTTGTTTGCTGCAAAGCAGAATTGCTATTTCAGATTGTTAATTTTTCCAGAGGGAAAATAAAGATAATTTGTATGGGCTTGTTGCTCCTCAAGGCAGGAGACTTCTTTGTTAGCATTTGATCCTGAACTTTTAATTTAATTTATATTTATGTGAGCCAATGATGAGTGGTGATGATATTTCAACCACATTTATAACAGAATCTTCCAGATTAGGATTGCCAACGAGTATGGTAAATTTTTGGTTCTTAAATAACATTTTCTAAGAAAAGGTATTCATATTGTTACATGAATACTTCTATAGTACACTTCCCACCACTTGTCTGTCAGTTTAGTGGCTTGCTTTAGTGGCTTGTGTGTTGCTGTGATGCTGGAAGCTCTGTGACTAGTATTTCAAATGCCATCAGGGTCACCCACAGCGAACAGGTTTCAGCGGAGCCTCCAGACTGAGAACAGACTGCAAAGAAGGACTCAGCTAACCACTTTGGAGGAAGTAGCCACCATAAACATGTGTAGCATGGATACATTGTCAGAGACTGCGGGCCTAATGAATAGAAACAGAACATTGTTGGAGATAGGGCTGGAGGATGGGCCCTTTGGGTCCTAAGACACTCAAAATGTGACTGATGAGGAGCTACTTTCTCAAAATAGTCCACTATGGTGATATAAATGGAGTAAAGCCTCTGGGAGTAGAACCTTTGGGGTCTTCATTTGCTCATCAGGCACAACTCAAGGTAAGATGCAGCACTTGCAAAAATCTAATAGTCACAAATTGGAATGTACAAAGTATGACTAGGAAAGTTGCAAGTCATCAAAAATTAAATGGAAAGCATAAAGATCAATATCTTAGGCATTAGTGAGTTGAAATAAACTGGTTTTGGGTATTTTGAATCAGAAAATCATATGGTTTACTATGTTGGTAATAACATAAGCAAGATGAATGGTGTGGCATTCATTGTCAGAAAGGACATTTCAAGGTTGATCTTGAAGTGTACAATGCTATCTGATTGGATAATGTCTATCCCCATAGAGGAAAATCCATTCAGTACAACTCTTTATTAAAATTTGTGTACCAACCATAAAAGCTAGTGATGAAGAAATTGAATTCTATCAATGTCTTCAGTCTGAAATTGCTCAAACATGCAAACACGATTGCATACAAAAGTTGGAAATTAGAAGAAGGAACAGTAGTTGGAAGTATGGTCTTGGTTGGTAATAGAAATGAAGCTGGAGATCAGATGAGAGAATTTTGCAAGATTTAGTGACTTGTTCCTAGCAGATATCTTTTTTGACAACACAGAAGGTGACTTCACACATGTGGACTATTCCAGATGGAATGCACAGATATCAAATTGACTACATCTGTGGAAAGAGAAGATTGAGAAGTGCATTATCAGCAGCTTAAAGTGAGGCCAGAGGCTTACTGTGGAGCAGATCATTAGTTGTTCATATGTAAGTTCAGGTTGAAAATGGAGAATTGAAAACAAGCCCACGAGAGCCGAAATACAACCTTGAGTCTGCCCTACCTGAATTTTGAGAACATCTCAAGAATAGATTTGCCCCATTGAACACTGATCACAAAAGACATGATGAGCTGTGGGAAGACATCAAGAACATCATACAGGAAAGAGAGCAAAATGTCATTAAAAAG